GCATATAGTTTTAATACATGTAATTTTAAAAAAAAACTGGCTGCAACGACTTGGCTAACATTAGCTAAGAATGCTAAGTCATTAATCAATGAAAATACCACATATAATTGTACATTTTGTAACATAGTATGACCAAAATTTACAAAATACTTGTACATGTTTTATATTCACTGTGGTACAAATCAACACCCAAGTTAATTAGCAATTAGCTACTTAATTAGCTAATTAATAAGCAATTAGCAACTGGGCTACTGAACAAATGTTAGCACACTAACATTGCTGTACACCTGCTAAAAATCAAAAAGCTAATATGTTAGCATGCAGACATTAGCATTCACCTCAGTTTTATATAGCCTACATAATGTCACAAAACTACTAGCATGTCTGTACATTTTGCCTTGTGTCTTTACAGCTTTAACCGAGAAACTCTGTTAACCTTAAGAAAATGAAGAGGGTTGTCCTAAGTTTTATAGAATGTCAAGTACATTAGATAAAAAGGATAGGTGATGACAAGCAATAAAGGTCATAGTTTTAAACTTACTGCTTCCCTATAAGCACATCCATGCTACCAGCCACGATGCCAGAATACTGACAGAGCAGATTAGCACAAAATCCATCTATAAGTCCTTTTACTGTGTTCTGTGAATATTTTTCTTTCATCTTCATGATTATGTTCTTTTCCTTAGCATCCACTCCAGCCCCACAGCAGAGCTCATCTTCAGACTGCCCCCCTTCCCAAGGCAGTGACCCACCCACAGATCACTCCCCTGTTGACCCTGAGGGCAACTCCAGCAACGCTAAGGAGGAACAATCGGTGAGGACGGCCCCTCTGGGGGTCATGTCAGTCATTTAGATTCATAGATTTTTCATAGAACAGCTGACTAGCATGATGCTACAATCCATTACTGCCACATGGGTGACCTATTCTCAATTATGTAACATGTAATTACGCAGATTAGAATGTCGTGATTATTATGGCCAAATTCGATGAGAGTTTAACCTTTTTTCTAGAAAAATGCCAAGTCAATTAAACACGAAAGGTCAAAAATGATTTAAGTGCTTTGATTAGATCATGTATAATAAGGCAAAATTTCAAGGTAATTAAACTCGATGTCACTTTCCTAAATGTTTTCCTGTTTTTCGGGGAAATGCAGGAGGTTTAACAAGCTGAGGATCGCCTGATCTTGACAAACACGTCACGTCTAAAGGAGAAATTTTATTGTGTTTTCTCTCTCAGGGCTCTGCCGTTGTGCCCAGCGAAGCTGCTGATCCTCCACAGGATCAGACATGTCCACAGGAAGACAGCTAGAGAACATCAGACAGTGAGTTGGTATTTCATGGTTTCCTTCTTTCTCTGATTTTCTCAGTTAAATATCAGCTGTCTTCACATTGTTGCATTTGGGTCCTCTCTCCCCAGCTCCTCTCATCCTGCTCTTCCCTCTCTCTGTCTCTTTTTATTATCCCTGTATTTTCACCTGTCAGTATATCTCCTTTTTCCGTGTGAATGAGTGGCCAGTTGAGAAAGGGCCTTGGTTTAAATTCTGTTTCTGTCCTCCAGCTCTCTGCTTCGTCACAGAAATAAGGAAGGCACAATGTTGCCACCTTGTGACGAAAGTTGTAACAGCACTAGTGCCGCTAAGTGATTTTGAAATTATTGCTGTTTGTCTTTTAGGGTGATGGAAGCTCTAAAGGCCGAAACATGAGCTCACGAGAAAAAGAAGAAAAGAGAGATGAGCGACTGTGAGCAGCAGCATCTCACAGCCTGAAACACAAACTGCTGTTTTTTTTTCAACCTTTAAAGGATATTTTGGCAGTTATTTAATAGCTGGCTATCCTAGGATCTGCTTTCCTCCAGAGGCCGCTTACTGTACTGTACTGTACTCCAGACTTTGGCTTCATCGTCCAATCAATTGACCTTTCAACCAGGAAGTGACCTTTTATCTTTGACCGAAACTGACAACAGGAGGTGATTGCGTCCTCCTGTTCTGGATTAATGAGTTTATATCTGCAATGATGTAAAAGACAAAAGAAAAAAACAACATGGTTACACTGATGATGCAAATTATTTTTTGGAAAAGAGAGAGGAGCAGTGTCCTACTGGATGCGGTTGACCTTCAAGTTCGTCAGCTGCCACCAGCAAACACTGTGCACAGCAGGAAGATTTGCCAAATGTTCTCATAGCGTCGCTCCACCGACTCAGCCATTTGCATGAACAGACTTAACATGGGTTCAGCGGACTCGGCTGTGAGCAGAGCTGATCTCCGCAGCTTCCTTCTAGGCCTGCAACAAATTTTTAAAAAAAGAAAGGTTATTTCATTTTTGTTTTTATTTTATAAGCTGTGAATTCTCGGTTGATGACGCTGAGTCACTGCAGATATCCACATGACTCTGAGGCATCAGCATGGAAATCAAGATTTGCCAAACATCTATTTTGTAAATAAGAATCTTCCCAGTCCCCCACACCCGAGCCTCTGTGCCATAAGATAGCTCTCTGCCTCTTGGATGCCAACTACCTGTGTTTCTCTCAAACAATGCCCTACCAGCACCTCCTTCTTCTTTGTTTTCTTTTTTTTTTTTTGACATCTGGACATTTGTTTCACCTTTTTCTTTTCTTTTTTTAAATTTCAAAAACTGTCTTCTGTTCAGTTAGTGAGAAATGAACTGTGAATCTGTGTTACATTGTCATTAAAAAGAAAATTTTAAAAAACTACTAGACCCAGTTTTTGCTCATTTTGAACTTGAAATATGACACGAGCGACGGGGCCGGAACCACAACCGCTTTTTCTTTTTTGTTGTAGTGATAGGACGCTTTGCTTTTTAGATATTTGACATTTCCAACTGAGGTCACGTTGTTTACACTTTGCCTGTCATCTAACCGTATCTCTGGTTTAATAGGCGAGCAGAATCAACTCATCCTGCACTGACGTGGCTCGATCACGCCAAGCTCGGAGACGGTCGATAGCGTTTCAATGCCTTATCGCGTTTCTTTTTATCGTCTTTTATCGTTTTCTTTTTCATTTGTCGGTGTATACACTAAGCAGGTCATTGTTGTGACAAAGCACTTAGGCATACTGTAGGTCTGCTCCACTGAAGTAAGACGGTTGAAAAGACAGGCAACTTTATATAATATGAACAATAGAGATATCACTATTAACTGCTAGACTTACAAAAACAAATGGTAACTGTACCCCTGCTTGTGTAAGAAAAATGAGAAATAGTCCCAAAATATTTTGTAAATTTTATTTATGGAATTAAGAATTGTCATGAAAAAGGAAAAAAAAAGGACTTTTGTACGTCTATGACTTCCCCCATACACTGTACCCATGCCACTGTTCAGTCACAAATAAAATACCATGTGATTCCCACCATTGCCTTTGCTTTTTTTTTTTTAGTGTGTGTGTATGTGTATGAAAAATTACATCTCCATTTTTACAGATTCATCCATATTTAAGCAAGTATTTTAGAGGGGGAAACATTTTGCTGAATCTGCAAAGAATTCATTATCTGGTTTTCGAAAAGTGGTGACTGTTTTAGTGACAAATCAAAAAATTGCTATTGTGCAGTTTGGTGTATCCGAGTTTTTTCTCCTTGTTTCCCTTCGTTAATAACGGCTTCCTGATAGCCACCCTCCCACTGAGGCCATTTCTAATTAAAATTCAATGAACAGTGAATAGATCAGCTGAAGATTCAGATGCGTCTTTCAGGACATGTGTCGGGTCTTTCTGGGATTTTTCCCCCAGCGTGACTTTCAGATACTGTTCGTCACTTTCTTCTGTCTTCTATTTGTCCAGTTTCCTCAGATGTTTGAATAACACACTGCACACCATGCTAAGCTAAGATGTGCCATTTTTTGCTGCTCCTTATTGGTGCAAAAGTATGTCTGTAAAACTGTACTTTGGCATTTTTCATAGATGCAACTAAAGAAATTGGAACAAAATATCATTTAAATGCATTGAAATATCCATAGGTCAGTCTTAAGTGGTTTAACAACAACGACAACAAAGCCACTCATGTGAAAATGATCAGGTACATAGACAGGACTGGAAATAAGTGGAAAAGTAACCAATGTAAGAAAATGTCTAAAGACACAATTTAATTTGCTAGGTTTTGTTATTCTAGCCCAGTTTGAATGAGTAATAGGTCAGTGTTAGTGGCTCAACAAACAAACAGAAAACATTCCTGGAAAAATGGCCAGAAACATGGACTGGACTGAAAATGAGGAGAAAGAAGAACTTTGAAAGACCTTTGGAAAGCCTGGAGAACTATCGCTCAAGACCACTTTAAAACATTACAACAAAGTCTGGCTCCTTCAAAACAAAATAGAAAGAAATTAGGGGTGGCTCAAGACTTTTGCACAGGAGTGTATATACTTTACTACTGTACTTAAATGTCTGCATGTGACTTAGCTTCTACCACTACTATCTTTACAAAGCAGAAGCCTAAATTTTGAATGTATAACATGACAAAGCAGCTGTTGCACACTCAGTGTGAGTAATGGCAGTTTCTTTACTTTCATTGCTTTTCACTAAGTACAGCTGACTCCTGTGGTTGTGTCATTCTGTGAAATCCCGCAAACCAGTCAAGATAAATAAAGCTTAAAGGTCACACGTAGGGAAACATGATTCAAATGACTTTGCTGGAATTTTCTTCATTACAAACTCTTGATATTTCACCACTGGCATATTTTAATGGAAATACTTTATAGGCATCCAGATTCATTGATTCCTACAGATTATACAGACTAAGGTTTATGAAAACTAAAAATACATCCATATAATTTGGGCTGACCAAACCTGCAAGCTCTGCAAATTCTATAATGTTTAAGTAAACTTGAGGTATGTGTCCCAGCCACACAGACAACACCATAACATTGGCTTTGTGGCCCTGAATGCCTGCAGTATTCTGACTCCAGCTCCACATCTGACTTTAATGGCAGCAGTTCATATACAGTCCATTATTGATCAGGCTTTGTTTACATAGAGAGCAGAGTGTCTTCTCCTCATTCACAGTCAGTCACAACACACAAACATGCTTTCTGTGGTGATACAGAGCAGTGCAATCAATTTGCACAGTTGTCTACTCCACGTTACTTTGAGTTTGGTGCTGCTAAGGTAGGAGATTTATTTTTTTTAACTGCAATGAATTGATAAGCTTATTTTTCATTTGCTGAGTAGGTTCCACAGGAATTAATTGTTGTAACTATTTATCTGTCAAAGACCAGCTGACAAACTAAGAAGTTTAGAAGCACCTCATTTGACACTTAAATCTGTGTTCCTTTCACAAGCTATTATATTTTGATCAGATGCTTTTGAAAAAAAACACATGACCTTTGCTCCCAGTGCCGCATTGCTCTATTTGTTTTGATGTGAGTTTTTAATCTGCATGTAACAGTAATTTTGCAGTGGCCACAGGAAGCAATGAAGACCCTAGCAGTCGTCAAGCCCGGTCAGTGGGTAACCCAGTGGTAATTCACCCAGTGGATTGCATTTTGTCAGAGTGGAGCGCATGGTCACGTTGTGACGTCTGTCAAAAGAAGAAAGTAAGTATAATGGCTATGAGATGTTAGTTAAATCAACAAGAACATACAGTGAAATCTGCAGAAATATGACTGGATCTCATCAGACAATCTGATTCATGCAGCTATGCATAAGCTAAGCGTGTGCTGCCTCACAGAGCAGCTGACCAGTGGACAAATACAAGCAGAACTTTAGTCTGAATGCAATGCTTTAATAAAAAATTTGAAAAAAATACAGTCATTGTTAGTCCAAGAATGTGGAACAGCCTGTGATTCAGCCTCATGTGAATTTACCCCCAACAGTGGTTGGTCATTGGTTATACTGTAGACTGCTTTAGAGATAGGGCAAACAAAAAGAGGTATTAAAGACTATTTAAAAGAATTTGTTTGAAAGTAGATGAGCAGAGCGTACTATTATCAAGTCTGAACCATGAAGCTTCAGGCAGCAGTCGGCTAATAGTAGATCATCTACAGTGGAAACGGCTTGCCTGGTTTAGTCCAAATGTAGAATTTGCCTAGAAGACCTATATATTTTAAAAATAAATCTGCTAAATTATGCTAAATATAAAAATGCTAAATTAGCAACTAACTTAGCATTGTTTCAATGGGAATTTTTGGCAAAAGGCAAATAAAATATGTTTCCTAAAATATCAAAAGTTGAAACAAAATCTTTCATCTCAAACTCAGAAATCAAGCAATACTATTTTTAGTTTAACTAACCCACAGAATTACTAGCCAGATAAACTTCTTAAATCAAATGTTACATTTCCACAGATTAGCTTAATTTAGCGTAGTTTAGACTGGATGAATCATTCCTATGGGGCTAGGATTGAGAGCTAAATCTGGAGCATTCTACATTTTGACACTTGTGACCTGTTTTTGTGAAAGCTGAGAGCTCAGTGTCTGGTGAAGGACTCAGCTGATATACTTCAGTGCTCTATTTTATCCACTTTACAAGTAAAGGGATTAATAACCTTGACATGACAAAGTGGAAAGAGCCTGCTAATGTGATTTCAGCTGATAGCTCCCCGGGAGCAGTTTTCAGGCCACCGTTATTGGATACTGGCAAAATCTCTTGTGTTTCTGTGACCCGCAACATCACAGTATCGCTATGCCAAAGTGGAGCAGCCTTCTCAGTTTGGAGGGGAACAGTGCAATTCCCATGCCAGGGAGGAGGAGGCCTGTAATGTTCCAGCCCGCTACACTTGTGACAGTGTTCCTCTCTGTGAGGGCTTCCTCTGCACCCAAACAGGTAACTCCAACAGTCGGAATAGAAATCACACAGCAGTAGTTTTTCAGTGTTTAAGAATTCACATTGCATGGACGTTACTGTTATGTGTTTGATATAATCAAGTCTTCTTTCCAGTCAGAAAATTTCAAATTATCTAGCAATTTAATTTTTACTGGGTTCAGCCACTATATAATCGTAAATTATCTATTTTTAAACAAAGTTTTTGACTGTCCAACCTAGATACAACTTAAATTTTACGGATTGACCTATTTTCTGAGTGACTAGAAAAATGAGATTGTGGGGGGAGACTTGTGGGGATAGGTTAATTGATTAATCCAAATTGTCACTAGGTGTGAATGTGAGTGTGAATGGTTCTCTGTCCCTGTGTGTTAGCCCTGCGACAGACTGGCGACCTGTCCAGGGTGTACCCCGCCTTTCGCCCTATGACAGCTGGGATAGGCTCCAGCGCCCCCCGCGACGCTGAAAAGGATAAGCGGAAGCGAATGGATGGATGGATAGAAAAACGAGATTGCAGCACAAATGAACATCCTCCAAAGGGTGACAGGGGGTCAGCAGGGGTCTTGAAATAGAGCGGCTAGTCCTCCAGGATGCAAGGAGCCAGTTGAGGTGGTTGAGACATCTGACCAGGATGCCTCCTTAGTGCCTCCTAGGTGATGTGTTCAGGGAAGAGGCCACAGGGAAGACCCAGGATTCACTGGAGAGATTACATTTTGGGATAAGTTGTGACTTTCCAGAGTCAATATTCTTTATTTGGAGCAGAGTCCAACTTGCTTTATTCCCTAAGCTTAGCAAACTGATGACCACCACTTGACAAAGAGACATGTTGAGAATCAAATCAACTCTTCATCTAATTCTTATCTAACTCTTCACTTGAAAGTAAAGATCCACTTTTGAAACACATTTTTTTTGATTTTATGTTACAGATAATTTTGCAAAATGGATCCAATTCTGCAAACATACTTATTCTGCACACTGCCTGTCTGGAAAGAAGTCATGGTTTAACACCATATATTCCTCTACTCTGTCAGGTCGCTGTATTCCTAGAACTCTGCAGTGTAATGGGGAGGATGACTGTGGGGACATGTCAGATGAAAATGGCTGCAGGAAGGTTCCCAAGCCCTGCAGGCAGGAGGCTGAGGAGTACTGGGGAATCGAAAACCTTGCCAAAGGGTGAGCTATGTTTCCACTAGTCTGTCTCTTGTGCAAGTCCAAATTATTGTTATTACTTGTGTTTTATGTACTTTGTACTTCTATCCAAGCATGTTAGGGATAGCTCAGTAGGTAGAGTGGTGGCCCCATGATCGGAAGGTCGGGGGTTCGACTCCACTGAACGGCTACCCTGAGGTACCCCTGAGCAAGGTACCATCCCTACACACTGCTCCCTGGGCTCTGCACTGGTGGCTGCCCACTGCTTCACTGGGTGAATGGGTTAAATGCAGAGGAACTATTTCCCTATGGGGACTAACACGCACACTTTACATGTTACTCTTCTAAATCCAATCCATGCACAGAATTATTGCTGTTCTTTCAGAATAAACATCTTGAACAGTAACCTGGAAGGAGTGGTGCTTGATAACAGATACTATGCAGGCAGCTGCCTGCCCCACTACATCCAGGACGTCAGATTCAGGAAGCCCTACAACTTACAACAGTATACCTTTCAGGTGAAAAAGCAGACAAACACACTTCTGTCCAGTATTGTGGTCTAGTATTCATAAACGAATTCATTTACTAATGGTTTGTTGAAGTTTTAAAACAAAATTGTTGCCATGTTGCCATGTTGCTATGCCATTGTTATATCATTGCAGTATCATCTGTGTTCAAAGTACTCTTAATATGACTATTTGTTTTAAGTTTTTATTATTTTTTGAACATTTAAAGAAGCAGTAGGGGTCCGAGGCACTTTCCAAAGTGTTAAAATAAGACGAACACAGGTCACAAGCCCAGTGTTTAACACTGAAGCCTGCTTTTTCTAGCTCTGGCACCTCGCCTCTGTCCCCCAATAGGCACAGTCTTGGTGATCTCGGAAACTTAAATTTCACCCAGCCCTCCATATATTTTAAAACATTTTCCCATATTGGGGAGACCAGTGGATATTCCCACATAGCTTGCACTAGCTTACCCTTTGCTTTTTATGCACTTCCAACACAAGTCATGTTTACTAATTTTATAAAGTCTCATCTGTGTGTAATAGTACCTGTTAAGAATTTTATATTGGATAAATTTACCTCTAGCTTCCCTTATGTAAAACCCATTTTCAGAGATGATTGAATCCCATGTTCCCTTATCAAAGGATCAATCCAGATCTTTTTGTAAGTAAGGGTGTAAGTAAAATGAAATTCTCTAGAAGATTTGTCTCCTGAGACAGCTTTATTTTATCTTTCAAACAATCTCTAATGGCCGGGTCCTTCCAAATTAAACTTTACTGTCAGATCATTAAAAGACATGAGCGTGTTCTCTTCTTTTAAATCACTTTTTTGTGCCATTGTGGCCAGTAAATTGTTTGTTTACCTTTTTTAATTTTGGGGTTGTGCCACAGGGGTGCACATTTTTGAAAGTATGGGGACAGATTAAAGCTCTTGTGAATCTTGCCACGCCATTTTTGAAAACTTTAAAATAGGGTTTTCTACTCTACACCCTTTGTTGTCTTGTTTTTGAGCTAACACCTCAATGGGGGTGAACAGAAAGGCCAGTTCACGCTTAATATGACTAATTAACCATTACCATTTAGTTTTCACACAAAACATTTAATTTTTTTTTTGTCCACAGACGAGAGGCTCCTATGATTTTAGCCTGCAGGCTTTTGAATCCTACTCTGACTACATGGACTACACCATGAAGGAGCGCACTAGCAAAACCGTTGTTTCCATCAGCTTTGGCATTCCAGGAATTTTCGAGTTTGGCATCAACTACAATGATAACAAATACAGCAAGTCAGTTAAGAAACTTCGCAGTGCCTCTGGGACGGTGAGGTGTCATGTTTTGGGTTGTTTTTAATGCGTGCAGATCTCTTTACGTTACCTTGAACTTCTCACTCTGTTTTCAAATATCCACATATCCAAAATGTATGTTGTATTCTTAACACAGTAGGCATTGTGATAACTTTGACCTGCATTCTCTGATGCCCAGACAAACAGCTTTGTGAGGGCCAAGGCAGAGCTGGAGTTGGCCCAGTACATGCTGAAGCCGGATGATTTAATGCTACACCCCGAGTTTCTACGGCGCCTACGCGCCCTGCCGCAGGCTTATGATTATGGGGAATACAGGCAGATTTACAGGGACTATGGCACCCACTATGTCACCGAGGCTGCCCTCGGAGGAGACTATGAGCACACCATTATTTTGGACAAAGAGAAGCTTGCAAAGACAGGTAGGAGTCCTCAACAAGCTTTAGTTAGGCGTTCTCAGTCAGTTGTTTCCATATTTAGATGACATGACAAGAAATCCTAGACCGTTACTGTTAGAAATAAGCTGTCAACACTTTAAGACTGTTTGAACTAGTCTTTGCTTTATTTCGTGAAAGAAATGGTCTCTGAGGGGTTTTTTCTCTTTATCCCAGAATATTCTTTAGAAGACTACAAGAACTGTGTAGAGGCAGGTTTAAAGGTTGGCGCAAATATAGACGGTATCTATTTATCATTGGGGTTTCACGGAGGATCCTGTGATGGCCTGCTGAACGAGATGGGAGGTGGGATCTCCTGTTTGATCATAGTTCTGTCAGTCTGTCTTACATTGAGCAAATAAGCTTAAGTAAGTAATTTGTCTCTTTCCAGAGGAGAAAAGGACTGGCAGTGTGGTGGAAGACTTTGTTGCTATCGTAAGAGGTGGAAGTAGCGAATCCGTCTCTGCTTTGTTGTCCAAGAAGCTTCCCACCCCTGAACTAATGAGGCTATGGGGTGAAGGTGTGCGGTTCAACCCTGACTTCATTCGCCAAACGGTGAGTTCAGTTCATTTCAGTTCAATTAAATTTTATTTATATAGCACCAAATCACAGTAACAGACGCCTCAATGTGCTTTCTATTGTAAGGGGAAGATACTAAAATAACAAAGAAAACAACAATAATCAGATGAACTTCTATTAGCAAGGAAGAGCCAGGCTCAGGAAGAGCAGCCAGCCTGGGAACCCCCCAGCAGCCTAGGCCTATTGCAGTTTTTCTGTCTATTGCTTCTATTTTGGCTGTGCTACATGCTGGAGTCCCACACATAATACTCTACAATGGGTGTGTTTGTTTTTGTCTATATATTTTTTTTTACATGAATGCAGTAAATAGTTCATTTTGTTCATTTTTTTAAAAAATATTTCTCAGCTTCAGCTCAAAAATGTGATGGAATTATCCACACGGCATCTGACCTCACTAATTGATGCATGACAAGCACTGGCACAATCACACAGTGGCAAAGTACAAACCGAGCTGATCAATGGCAAGAGCAAACACAAAATGATGCCAAAAAGCAAGTGTGCCAAAGACAAATAGGCTGCTTTGCTGCAGCACAGTCAGGTTTCAGCACTTGTGGAGCTTCCCAGTAAGCTCAGTACAAAAAAGGGAGAGAGTTTTATTTGGACAGTAAAAAGATCCTGGATTTAAAACAGTATTTATGTCTTATTAGACACGGCCACTCCATGAGCTGGTGACCTCCAGAGACTTTTCCCAGCATGCTGTCCTGAAAAGAAACCTGAAGAGAGCCCTGTCAGAGTACTTGGCAGAGGCTAGTCCATGCCGGTGTGCTCCCTGTCGCAACAATGGAGTGGCTGTTCTGAAAGGTAACCCAGTTGTTGTTGTTGAGCAACAACTATTAACATGGAATGATTCCTTTGTTCCATCTCCATCATTTATTCACAGAAAACTCAATGCACTACTTTGTATCATAAGCTACTTATGATAGCTTTACTTTGATGTAATAAGGATGTGTCTTTCATCAAAGACTCAAGAAGTAATTGCAACATCTTAGTACAATCCCATTTTTCTACTGTTTTGTTTAAGTTTCAGCTGAAACAAAATCTAAATGCGATATCTGGTGATGATTATAGTGATGGCAAATAGTGACAGTGAAGGAAATATCTTTTTTTCTTCTTAACAGGTACAAAGTGTGACTGTGTTTGTCCTTTTGGCTATACTGGAAGAGCCTGTGAGATCACTAATAGGAAAAAAGGTTAAGACAACTTTAAAAAATAATAACAATAATAATAATAATCTGGTAACAGTGTTGTATTTGTTTTATTTATGTCCACTAATTGTGCTGAGACACTGACAGGAGGTATGGTTTGATCCGTTCTGACAGAAATAGCCATTGATGGCAACTGGAGCTGCTGGGGTGCGTGGTCATCCTGCAGCGGAGGGCAAAAGACAAGAAGTCGACAGTGCAACAACCCTCTACCCAGCAATGGAGGCAGGGCATGCACAGAACTGCAGCAAGAGTCTACTGCCTGCTTTTAAAATCCCCTGTCAAAGATGCCATAAAGATTTATAAAAGAGATGTTCAGTGTCTGGTACATTTGTCTTGTATTTGACTGTCCAGTGTGACATGATGATTCTCCTTGACAATGCTTCATCTCCCTATTCAAGTATTAAAAAAAATGTTAACCCCAATGGATTATGTCTTGATTCTAGGCCTCGTCTTTGTATTTTTTATCCCGACCTGTTTCAGATACTTAGCTTCTGTTAACAAGATTCGACCGTCAGATTTAAAGTAATTCACAAAAGTACAATACTGTGCAGCTGGAGGTGCTGGAGGTGCTGGAGGTGCTGGGGTGCGTGGTCACTCTGCAGTGGAGGCCAAAAGACAAGGAGAGAAGTGGTAAATGGACTGGTTCTTATAAAGTGCTTTTAAAAAATAAAAGTATATATATTTATTTATTTTTGCCATACTTGAGCGCTCAAAAAGCTTTTTACAACATGTCTCATTCATCCATTCATGAAAGCACTTTTCTCTACGGCTAACACTCACAAACATTAACACTCAAATGGAACCATTTGGAATAATTTGGGGTGCAGCATTTTGTCCAAGGATACTTTGGCATGCAGGCTGGAGCAGTCCAGGATCAAACTCCCAGCCTTCCATTTGGTAGATGATCTGCTTCTACCTCCTGAGCCAAAAAACACCCCACAGTGGAAAATAGGTGCAGAGATTTATTGAAACATATGAAAGGATCATAATAAATACAGTATGTAAGGCAAAAACAGAGTTTGGACAGTCTTAACAACCATTTCTCATTGGTGAGGATCAAATGTCTTTCAGATACTTTTCATTTGCTGTAGATGGTCTTTTAGGCAAGTTACTTTTTCATTTTTCCTCCACTTGTTTAGTTTCCTCAAATTTTTTATTGACACACTGCACACTGTGGCAAGCTATGGCAATTTTTCAGCTAAAGACTCTTTGGGAATCAGCTTGTTGGTGCAAAAATACCATTTTATGCCTCTCAACTTGTGTTGTCTTTGATATTCTTCATCAAATTGAAAACTAATTAAACAAAAGAAAAGAGAACAAATTAATGTTTTTGTGACAGGCTGCCAGTAACAGTAGGGTGCCTAATTTATCATTTAAAATTTGTTCTTTCATCCTAAATTTTAATATCGTTTCATCCCTTGAGTTAGGTGTCTTTTTTTGCTTACATGACTCAGGTCAGTGTTAAGTGGCTCAGCAAACAATAAAGCCTTCCTGTGAAAATGGCCAGGTACAAAGACTGGACACAAAATCTGCATGAACATACAATTATTCGGAAAAATACAGAAATTCCAATTTTCTCTTTTATTTTTGAGCACTTTAATGTTTACAAAGGAATACAAAAAATGCTCACTAACACATCTTCACTCAGCAATCTGAAAGAAACTTGTGTTTAACAGGGCCAAGTCTGAGAAGCAGAGCCCAAGCAGGTGGCTCCGCCATTCTGAGGCGGAGGATTATTACACACTCGTGTCCTGGTCTTCCTCCTCGATGTACAGGGTGACCAGGCCCCCCAGCAGGACCACGATCCATCTGCCTTGGTTTCTGTTGATAAAAATTAAAGGTGTTGATTATGAACTGTAGGGTGTAGGTCCATTAACAGCTAAATTTTTGAGTTTCACTAACAACAGATTAGATGACTATTTGAATATGAATCAGTGGAGAACTATCACCGCAGTCGGTTCATTCTAGCTCAGCTATTAAGTTGCTTTGGGCTACAAAAGGCAATAGTCTGCAGTAAAGAGGAGCCGCTCCCTTTTTTCCAAGGGGCCACTACAGCAGATGGAGCCACACATTTTGATTTGGCAAAGATCGCGTGCCTTATGCTCTTCCTGATACAACCCTGCCATCTAACTGGGCTTGATGACTGGCACTAAGCGCACATTACCTTGTGATCCTCCTGAGGCTGGGTTTGTGTTTGCTTCCCTTCTGGAACCAGGGAGCTTTTGGATTTTACGGTGAATGTGTTAACCACTACACCATGGAGCCACACAACAGTCACAGTACTGGGTCGTGTGACCCAGTGTTTAAGTTTTATTGTATTTTGTTATTCATTTGTGTTCTAGTTTCAGTTTAGTTTCTCAAATTAATTTCTACGATGTCCAGGTTGCTGTTCTAGTCCTTTGTTTGTGTTTGTTTCTCCTGCTAAACAGGTGAACATAGATTCAGGAGCAACAGGACTTAGTGCTACTAATTCTTTGATTTTATTTATTTTTTGCTGTGTTTTACTTGCATCTATTTGAAAGAGCGAGTGTAAACACAAAAAATTATTTTATATGATGGAATATGCAGAAAATAGGTTTAAATGTTAAACAAATTCCTTCAAATCAAATAATGTTATATATAATTTAATTTTTGCTTGATGCAATGTGCATAAAGTTAAAAGATTAAAACTAATAAAACAAGGTTTTAAAAGAGACTTTTTCATTTGATTCAGTTTTATATGATGGATTATTCAGAAAATAGAATTGGGCTGAAAGGTCGGTTGCTTTATTCAGTTGTGTATCATGTTTTTAAAAAAGTAACTAGGCAATAAAGTAACTAATTACTTTTGAAAATAAGTAATCAGTAAAGTAACAGGATTACGTTCTCGACGAAGTAATCCGTAATTAGTAACTAATTACTATTTTCAAGTTACTTGACCAACACTGGTCATATACAAGTGAAGCTTGTCTGCTGAATGTTAAAAAATTACGACTACAATATTTGTCACAGTTGTATTTTTACTTGTTTCTAATGTCTTTTGAAATACTGTGTGTGATTTGAACATGTTCAGCTTGTTCCTGTTTCTTCTTCTCACCTCTTCGGTTGGTGTTTTCGCAGGCGTACCCCTGGTAGCCTGAACTACACATGCAATTACAAGACGTGCCTGAGAGGACAGGAATCCCATTGTTGCTGCAGGGGGCACAGCGGCACGGGTTAAACTGCTGCAGATACTCATCAATGGCTCGCTGCAAGTTGGCCAGTCTGTCACCTACGTGGTCAGCAGCTGTGCTGCTACGTACAAGCTCATGAATCGGCATGATCTAGTTTACAGGGCATGTGGGACAGAGACAGGACGAGAAGAAAGAGGAAAGTTCATTACAAGAAGATGTCAGCAGTGTGTTGAGAGAAATGACACTCAGATTTATAACATTTGTTGAAGAGCAAGATATATAATTCATCTTGATTCATACATAATTTAACTTTACTGAGTTACCTCATAATCAATGAGTGCTGGGTTATATTTAAGAGAGAACCCCCACTTCCGGTACATGTCAGGGTTCCTGATGGCGTTCAGACCAGCGCTGCTGTCTGTGATTCCTCCGCTTACTTTTGTGACAATGTCCTCAATAAAAGCTGAACTACCTCTTCTATCTGTGCATACAAAAACAAATCAAAAGAAACTATAACCCTGTTTTTGTAAGAAATGAAAAAAAGTTACAAATAAAGCAATTTAACTAGTTAATTTAGATAAAGACAGAATTTCCATTTTTCACCTTCATTGAAATGTCCGTCTTTGTTGCATAATTTCCCTGACAGCTTGGGCTCTATTGCTGCACTGCTGCCAACTGGAATACTCAAACCAAACGAGGCACCAAAGCATGAACCAGCTTCATCAGCGTTAATATCTGTAAACATTGGGGAAAACACAAAACAAGGGTTACTTTACATCGCATGTGATAATGTGGTAGGGTACTCTGATTACAAAATGGAAAACTCCAGTACCTAGGTTTCTCAGTGTTGTTTTGTTGACAATCACGACATGTTCCACGGTTCCACCCATAGTTCCCTCTGTGATATAGTGGGTGCCAAATGTGTTGAAGAAGCGAGAGTACATCCCAAAGTCGTATTCCTCTGGGAGCTCCATGAGTGAAACATAGAAATCTTCATGAAGCATCAGCTTATTAGTTCTCATCTTGAAGCGAGCGGTTTGCACTTCTGAATTAAGCCAAATGAAACCTAAATCCTGAGGGGGAAAAAACAATATAACAACTAGATTTTGCACTTTGAATGTGAAACAACAAATATACAAAGAAACAAAATGTGCCACCCTTCACTTCTTTATATTTTGTTTCTGTGGCAAAGGGGTCTGGGCCAGACTTGAACCCAAGGTGCTCCATTGAACCTTGTGGTTGAACATAAAATAGTGTTGTTGGTTTTTTTTTACTAATCAGGTGATTGCCAAAGTGCTTTTAGCTGATAACTTTTTCAGTTTGTCCTTAAAAAAAAAAAAACTAGAGGAAGAAGTCTACACAGATGAACGATGTCTGAAAGTTATCTTCCCAAGAAATAGAAAAATCCAGCAAAATAGGCGGAGCTGAAAGATGCGTCTTCACTAGATCCATTTGGATCTTGTTGAAATTGATGGAACTATGAACACAGACGAGTACTTTCATATTTTGAGCTACCACACAATACCATCTGGGAAGCATCTGATAGGTAACAGGTTCATTGTTCAGCATGACAATGATCCCAAACACACAGTCTTAATATAACATAACATAATAACATATGTGAATTCTGACCAGTCACAAGAGACAGTTTCACATTGACCTAAGTAACAATTTCATGGTTCAAAGAGTGCACCACTCCGTCTCTTTTTTTTCTTGCCTTGTCTCACCAATATGACAGAAACCATATGGATAAGATGACATTTCCTTAATTACACTTTGGATCTCACATTTAAATGAATGGAACGCTTACTTTGGTCTTCACAGATCACAGCCAAAAATAATAATGATAGCTTTTGAATTGTTTTCTTAATTTGTACATGCGTGTGCTTCTCTAATTATGAGGATCAGCCCAAACTACTTTGGTCCATTAAAAACCAGAATCCTGACAGCATGCCTGCCTCAACATTAACATCACTGAAGCAGTGTGGGATAATTTTGATCATTTTCCTTTGAACGTCCTTCCAGAAGCCTGGAACTATTCCTGAAAACTACTCAAAGACATCTTGCTTAGAGAGTTTAGACTATGTTAAAGAGCAAATGGTAGTCATACCAAATCTTGACTTTCAGACTGATTTGAATTGTATACATTTAATTGACATATTTACCATTTTAATCCCAAAATATAAAGAAGTGAAGAGGAGCTCAATAGTTCCACACAGTACTGTACAATCTTGCTGACACTATATTCTTGTTTGACCACTGAAGCTAAT